AATAGTAACGAGGGGAAGGGCAATTTGCTAACACTTGCAACAGCAGCTGAAGCGAAGGCGTCAACGAGAACAACAATGCGCACAACGTCGCACTTTGGCAGCTGGAAAAATCTATCTACTATACTGATATTCTTGTTTTGTTTTGCGTGGCATGGTAAGTGAATATTTTAATTTTACTATATACATATGTATTAGTGTATTGCATTTATTAATCACACAGCTCTATTAATTTGCAAGAACTTGAGTTTCGTCACCAATGGCCGTCGTAAAACTTGATTTTACCTCAAAAATACTCCGAAATTAGACCCAATCGGCTACACAGCTCAACATACTTATTTAATTCTAATAATTAACAATTCTCTTAGGATTTTTTTCATAAAATCAGAATCTGACTTTCATTTTAATTTTATGAGTCGAAAAATTAACATTATATACAGACAGGGAAAGAGAATCAATTCATGTTTAACGCATGGATCCAAACTCGAAAAAATTGGCGTGGGGTTTTTTTCTGAAAAATTGGCTTTATCATTCATTCCGCTTCCGTGACTACTGCAGTGTTTTTCTATCGGAACTGATAGGTATCTCAAAGTGTAATACAATTTCTAGTCTTTATATCTTTCTCGTTTTCACCTACAGCCCGGCTGCTATTATATCAATAGGCAATATGCCGCTGACTTCAAAAGTAGTTACTCAATACCGCCGATCTCTTAACGCGATGGCCGAGGTATTACGAACACACATTGTCTCAAATGCTAGCTGACGAACTCGCGCATCATAGAACTCTGTACATTGCCTGATTTGGTGCACCCTATAACGACTACAGCAGAAGCTGCATGCACGAAGACGGAGAAGAAACCATTCCACGTATACCCTGCCGGTTCTATCTCATGGCAGTTATAGCTTCGATGACCTTGATGAACCAAAGTTATGCATGTAAAAAGCTTATGTGCTTTTTTACTGGGCACGAAGTGCTTTATAGGGAATCGGTGATAAATGCGGACCCCCCGTTTTAGTTAGTCTACATGGAACTGCCGTCCAACCTAACCCAACCTTATAAGTTTTTAAGATGATGACAAATTAACGCTTGAAGTGCACCAAAAGCGCTCATACGAAAGCTCTTTGGACACCCACCGGTCGGTCTCCTCTGTCGGTTAAGGGGCGAAAATGAGTAATTAAAGAATGCCGCTTTTATGCGGATTGTTCGCTCCTTTATATGACAGCTGTGGTAAACGTTGCAACGCTATGTCCTTTCCTCGCATCGTCAATCGTATTTCGCAGGAATTTTACCTTTTTATATTTTCTTAAAACATTTATTTATTATTTTTCCAAATGTTTAACAGATTTTGTCTCTGCAGTTGCCTTTGTATTTTCAAAAACTTTAATTCATTGTGGATTCCCCAATAACTTTTCAAAAAATACAATCTAAAAATTAAAATAAAACCAACTTGACTGGAAAAATAATCAATTTAAAAAATAAATTTTTATTTTTAAGTCAAAAAATATATACAATAAAATAAGATAAAATTAAACAAAGATGTATAAACTAAATAAAAAAGGAACAGTCCAGTGCCTTCGTCTTGGTTCGCAGGATGAATCGGAGACACAGCCGCTAAATTTAAATGTAGAATACGTGGTATGGTTAAGAGCACATCCAAGTCAAAAACAAAAGCACATACTAAGAAAAAATATCGATAACAAAAACGATAATAATATCGTTAGCAAAACCGATAAATCGATAAAAATATTGATACTAAAATCGTTAATAATACCGATAGCGAAATCGATAAGAAAATCGATAAAAATATCGATAACAAAATCGACAGAAATATCGATAACAAAATCGATCACAACATCTATAAACAAAAAACGATTACATAGTCGATACGAAATCGATTAAAATATCAACAACAAAATCGATAAAAAATATCGTTGATTATATCGATAAAAAGCGATAAAATATCGATTATTATATCGATAAGTCCCGAGAATTCCGAAAATCTCTAAAATCACGAAATAGTCCCCGGAATTTTTAATTAAATAAAACAAAAACAAAATCATTTGAGCGGTTTTCGACCATGTTTGAAGTAAAAAAACTTTGCTAATTTGCTCAAAATGCTGAAAGCATTAAAATGCTGAACATTTGGGGAACCTTTATAAAATTTATACTCGATTTCTATTGCTCCAAACAACCTATATCCGGAAAGTGAAAGTTTAATCTGCAAATCGTAAGCTGCTAGATCACTTTAAAGGCTTAAAATTGGCCTCACCGACAGAAACCGAATTGGTTACTTACAAAAATGAATCTGTCGATAGGTTTGGAATTATATCTTTGAAAGGCTCTAACTTTCTTTCAAATCGCTTCATTAGTTCTCATGCAATAAGCGTTTTCGTAAAGCTTTAAAAATTACAACATCAACATTTGAGCATAACCTCCATATCGAAACGTAAAACGAATTCTACGTCAAAATAAATTAAAAAATCCGCTCACCGAAGATTCGAACCTCGGATCTCTTGAATGCCGCGCCAGTGCTTTACTTACTCGGCTATGGTTGTTGGTGCAGCGCAAGCAAAGTGAGATAAGTACCATACACCTCGAGTTATAAGTAGGCATGGGTAACACTGCGCTGCGCGGCGCAATTACGGTAACACCGTAGCCGGAGTTGCCGCGCCAACACCAGTATATGGAAAGCGCCAGCGCCATTAACACCAAGTAACACATGAGGCAGCAACACAATTCGCCTTTGAAAATTTACACGTACATACTTCGTTTTTGCTTTTGAGCGTTGAGAACGCAAATTTAAAGCGTTTACTCAAGAATGATGAGAATATCGTGGCATTTACTACATTCCTATCAATTAAATTTGGTTGGCGGTACAAGCGTTGCTCAGCGCCGAAAATTATAGAAATAATAGACATGACACCACTGTATGGTGTACTACACTATATGACGATGGGTACTGTAGTGACACTCAGATGGCACCGTGTTCAATTCAGTACACTGCACTAAAGCGCTGAGTTAGTACGCTGACACCACAGCCAAAAAAATTGCGCTATTACCCATGGCTAGTTATAAGCTAAAGTGCTTTCTCTAAAAAGAGCTTTTCACCACGAAAGTTGGCAAGGAAGCTTTTTTGCAAGACTTCTGTGCCAAAATAAAAAAAAATCTTTCAAACTAACTTGCCTACCGTTCTTCAATTCTCTAACAAAAGACTTCTAACCAGTGCTACCCTTTTTGAGCGCCAATACCCTTTGACTCAACTTTTTGAAAATTTAGATATTTTGACCCTTTTCCAACATTATGGGCGACTTTTCGCCCTTTTCAGAGATTTTTATTAACAAAACCTGCTATTCAAATTATTTTCTCCTGTAAGTACGAAAAAATACATCACTTAAAATTCAACTCTTCTCCATGTAGCGACTATATTTTTGTGTGTAAAAAACAAAACCGACTTCAATTCTCATATAAAAATGCAAGACTACCGTTAAGTTCTTCATAATCCAATTATCGTATCTAAACCAGGTTAGTATGGGGCCACCTCTGAGCTACCTACTTTCCTTTAAGAAATTATAGAATTATAGAAATCGGCGTACTTTGCGGTTACATACATAAACAAAATATATTCCTACGAATTGATAACCTCCTCCTTTTTTGAAGTCGGTTAAAAATAATATGGTTACCCTTTTTTTCGTCAATGACCCCTTTTTGAGACTTCCTAAAAATTCGCAACGGCAACACTGCTTCCAACTATCTTAACCACAATTGGCCTGTTCAAAGATGAAACTGAATTTGAGTCAAAAAAATCTTTCGAAGTATTTGGTATACAAGCGAGTTTGTTAGTAGTTTATTTGAATGTCTTATTTTTATTTAGGCGTAAACAAGTATCTGAGGTTTCAACTTTTTCAATGCGTTTGCCCAATAAGCTCCTTGTTCAAATACTGCCAACTAATTAAAACTATGAAAAAATATTTCGCCATTTACGACTTAGATTTCAATAAAGTCTTCTTTATGCCAATAATACCAAACCGAAAATAAAAGGGACAAAGTGCCATGCACCAGCAACTAGATAGCCTTCAATCAAACGCTTTCTACAAGTGTGACAACAACACCATCGAAGTGGCAGTGGAGTGGCAGCAGCTAAAGCAAGCGAATAATCTGCACTACATGAGGACATTTTCATTTGAAGTACATAGTTAGGAAAAAATGAAATAGGATTTAGGAGCGTGTGTGCTTGAAGGAAATAAGAGGAAACGATGCAATGTGGCGCCACAGGAGAAAAACGCCAATTTCTGCCTTAGCGGAAGGCGCAGCAAGGAATGGCAAAAGCTACCTACCAAACAAATCAAACGTGCAAATGCCAAAGCACAGCTAAGCAACCGAAGGAAAAAACAATCAAACGGCTATAAAATGCAAGAATATCTATACAACTACATACAAAAACAACAAACCAACAAAAAACAACGTCAATGCAATGTGAAGCATGCAATTGAATGAGACACAACGTCGTCGCCAACGGTGCCGCTGCTGCTGGCGGCAAAACAGAAAAACAACAGCGAAACGGCAACCACCAAAAACCACACCCACTTTTGCCACTAATGAATAGCGTCGTCGTCGTCGTCGTCGTCGTCGTCGTCGTCGCCGTAGTGCAGATGCGAGCAAGAAGAAGTCAAGGGAAGCACACACAAAAAAAGAAGGCTGGAAAAAAGCAATATGAAGAATGTTGCACAAAAAAGGCAGTGAACGGGACGGATATTGCTGGTCGTGGGAGTCCTCGGGGGCGTGTAGACGAAACACTTCGATATGTGTTTAAGCCAAATTGTGAGTTAAACCGGATCTGAGCGTATGCTGGTGTACATATGTATGTATGTATATATGTCTGTACTATGTACTACATATGTGTGCGAATGCCGCTAGAAACGTTCAAATACAAACAAACATAGCTACAGATTTTCATATGTATGTATGCACGTGCGTTTGTGCACACACAAAACAGCTAAATGGCCGGCTATTCTGACATTCGCATTCGAAAGCAAATATGTATGTATGTTTGCAACGAGTATATCCCGCAAATACGGCGTGGGTGCGCTGCAGTTACTGCGCTGGTGGCTGCGGAAGCTAATGCTTTATTGCACCGGCATTGAAGATGAATTTTCTTG